CTTTGTGCAAGTAACACAAACACTACATACATACATACATGCATGCATGCATACATACATACATACATACATACATACATACATACATACATACATACATACATACATAATACATACATACATACATACATACATACATACATACATACATACATACATACATACATACATACATACATGCATACATGCATACATACATAAATACATACATGCATACATGCATACATACATACATACACTACACATACACTACACATACACTACACATACACTACACATACACTCACTGCTCGACCGAAAAGAGTGACTCTAAACGTGAAGTCATGTCAGTCTTGACTAGAACCAGTTGGGAATTATAGGGCTACAAGAAAATATTTTTCCTAAGCAAATATTAAAAGCCCCAATAACTATGTGTTCCGACAGTAAGTTAAACATTCTTCAGGCTTTACTTAAGACAATTTTTACTACTCACTTTAAAGACCTCAATATCTCACTCCCTAATATAATTATGACAAAATAATATAGTTATTTAATTACTTACAGCTCGAGATTAATCTAGTAGCACTTTGTATACGAATAAAGTGTAGGGTAATCAATTTCTTAACAAGAATTTTATATTGTATTTTAAATATTTCTTATGAATAAATATTTTAAAATAAATATAACATTTCAAACACTTGTATGAATAACATTTGCCTGGTTATTTGTTCAACTTTCAGCCTATTTTTTCCGTTTTTTTCCTCAATCTGTCCTTTTTTTCAGAAAAATATTGGCATCACTGCTGTGCAGCCACTTTTTTGGTGGCGGCAGTAATTGCTCTCTTCCCGCTCGCATAAAATGGAGAGCATAAAAATGCAAAAACAGAATTCACTTGCTTGCATGAGTGAAAACAGTAAACAAAGAAGTGTGTAAAAGAAAAAGACGATTTTCGGTTCGAAACAGAGAACTGTAATTTTCTGTATTCATAAAACTTGAATGGGTGGAAGCGAGACGTTTTAAGAAATGAAGGGTGAAAGGGAATACCCAAGAAAAGATCGTGCACGTGTTTTTGCTTTTTGATGCACCCCATTTCGGACACAAAGAATATTTGAAGCTTAAGACGTCATTTGATAATTTTTTACGTGCTTTAATGTATTATTATAAATAATAGTAACAAACTGGGCTTAAAAAGTATATATTAAATATTTTAAAACGCATTACAAAAGAACTTAATTTTTCTCAAGTGTTTATGATTTTGCTGTTTTTTTTTTAATTTTAAAATTTTATTTTTTTACAAAATCTGCCGTTTCTGCCATAATTGCGACCTTTTTCGTTGGCTTCAAAATCGGAATTAATCCTAACACGCTAGCAAGTGCACAAGTAAAAAACAAAGATCACCCAATTGACACCCGAGGCACTCGAGTGTCTACGAGACACCCAGGTCATAAATCCGTGGCGCCGAAACACTCGGGTCATAAATGTGTGTCTTTGCAACTTTGCAACCAGCTGAGTAACGGGTATCTGTCTTGTTCTACTTACGGTCTTTTGTATGGATCGTACTCCGTATTATTCATCACACAATGATTTTTCAGTTCGCCAAAGAACTGAACTCCAAGCAAACCATATAGGGACATGAAGAATAGGAAGAACAGTGTCACATTGTAAATCTGCTGGCTCGAACGTCTGTAAATCGAAGTTCATGATTTGGCTCATGAGATTATTATAATTTGAATGAAGTAAAAGATACTTGCTTGAAGATTTGGTTAATACGGCTTTTTGGCATACTGAATTTAAGGAAGACGCGTAGGAACCGAATCATGATCAAGGGTCTTGGGGCTCTCATAATGGATAGATAGGAAAACCTGAGATAGACGATTTTGCGTTCAATATTGATTATAGTTACTTATTTTCACAGTTTTGCGCCTACTTACTTTGGAACTATCTCCAGCACCTCGAAGATTTGCAAAATGATTGAAATCCACAGGAAGCTAACCATGGAAGCATCAAATTGGCACCAGTGATCTTTTAAATAAGGCACCTCACCCTGCAAAGGAGTATGGCAAAAGTACATGGTATTCCTCTAAGTGCACCGTACTCACATGCAGCACACCACGGATGTGCATCTTGGCGATCATCTCGGCGGTGAAGAGCAGCGTGACAGCCGTGTCCGAGGCAAAGGTGATGAACTGCAGCGACGGATACCGCTCGAAGGTCTTGGGCGTGTTCAGTGATACGGAGGTCAGGGAGACGAGGGCGCACAGCCGCATCAGCCGGCGCACCCACAGCTTGTTCACCCATTCGATGTCGGCGCTCTCGTTAAGCGACTCCTCCGGCCCGTAATCGGCCAGGAAGGGTTCGCCGCCCTTCAGACTCTGCTTGCGGCCCAGCATGATCTTGTTGCCAATCCCGGTGGCAATGCCCAGCCCAATGGGCGGCACTCCGGTGATGGCGGCACTGCCCACGGTGCTGCTGATGCCGCCACATATGCCCATGCCGGCGGCAGCTGCTCCACCGCCCATGCCACCCATGCCGCCCATGCCGCCCAGTCCTCCGAGCAGATTGAGCCCACCACCGCCGCCAACGCCACCAACGACCGGTCCCAGCCCGGCTCCATTGTTGTGGCCACCGCCTGAGGACGGAGCCGCCGTCGCCGAGGAGCCACCGCCTCCGCCGCCGGCCAACGACTGTTGCTGCTGCTGCGGCTGCATTCCGAAGGCGACGCTGCTGCCGCCGCCGCTGCCGCTACCGGAGTTCACAATGGTCGTCGGACTGTTGAGCGCACTGGCCGCATCCTGGCGAGCGCCCAGTCCCAGTCCGTTGCCAGGACTGCTACCCGGCGATGGATTGAAGCTGAACTGGCTGGCGGACGCCGGCTGCGAGTGTCGCAGGTGTGGATACGAATGCGGATGTCCGTGTGGATGTGGATGCGGATGATGCGAGTGCGGCGGCGCGTGGTGATGGGTATGCTGCTGGTGGTGTGCGTAGTGGTGCCCGTGATGGGACTGGTGGTGCGGATGCTGCTGCTGTTGCTGCTGCTGCGGCGTCAAGCTGTTGCCGCTGGAGGAACTGGTGCTGGCCGTCGCCGGCGTGTTGATGCCGCTCGTGGAGTACGGATGCGAGTGGTGGTGGTGCTGATGGTGGCCACCACTGACGCTTGATCCGCTGGCTGCTGTCGTTGATGCTGACGCTCCAGTGGTCGGTCCCGTTCCCGCCGCCCCAGCCGCTCCCGGTACCGCCCCTGCTCCTCCGCCGCCGCCGCCGCTGCCTGCTGCTCCTCCTCCACCACCGCCTCCGCCACCGCCTCCTGCTCGTTTGTTTCTAGCAGCTGCACCCAAGCGACGAATCTGTAGGCGGTCAATCATTCAAGCGGCGCATCCTGACCCTGGAACGGTCGGTAAGTTATGTCTTCTGCGGGGAGAGTGCGTATTAATTAAGATATAATTGATTAAAAGATAATTGGTTTACTCCTAACGCCAACTGCTATCTTGTTCTCATTAGATTCAACTATTAGCTAGGCAGCTAAATGTTTAAGGGGAACATCGAACTAAGTAGCATATCAAGTTAACAGCATATTATGTTTCATTCCCAGTACCAGGTGCCATTATGACCGATTACTGTGCACCTTCATGTGCCCAGGATCCGCTCCTCCAACTAGGCGGCAATTAGAGCCAAGACCTGTGTCAATATTTACATTCGAACAGCTGCCAAGGTGGGCTGAAGGTGCACCACTCAACCCACCCACACAGGCGCCGATTGCACTGCGCGAAAATATTTGAAATGCCCTAAAAGGGTGTAATTACATCTAGTAATGAAATATATATACAGTGTTGGAAAAAATAATAGAAACAAGTTGGTTGAATCATAGACTTTAAATTTTGTGCTCATAACGAAAGTAATATTTTTGAATTTTTATTTTTTGTAATTCATATATGAGTATATTTCGCAATAAGGAACAAAAATATTTTTTTCATCTTTATATTAACTAAAAATAATTAACTTCATTTTTGGCGCTTGGAAAAAATAATAGAAACAAAACTCTTAAAACTAAGAAAAACTTCATTTTTTGAATTATCTTATAAAAATAGTTGTAATATTAATATTTAGTGGTATTTCCTTTATTTCTTATAACTGCTGAGCATCGACAGGGCATTAAATTGGCGCAAATTTCGGGGTTAATGGCATACCACTCTGACTTAACTTTTATATATACTTTTATAAGCATTTCAACAGTAATTGTTCCTCGGAATATGTGTTTACCATACTTGTTTCCCTACTTTTCTCGTCTAAGACAACTTTATTGATCTGATTACTTGCAATGTATCTTTTGCCCATAGGCATGTCCACAAGGACCTTCGAGAGCACCCAAATTTATTTCAGTGTGAATCAAGACAGTCAGCTCGGCGTATGACACTTGCAACCCCCGAATGAGCAACCACTTCTCGCCGTATATGCGTAGATATGTGTACTATACAGCCCAGTCCCAGTCCCATCCCCAATCGCAAATCCATTGTCATTACCAAAGCAGCATCAAGCAAAGGCAGCCATGCCCAAACTCCAATCAGCTCGATTTATGTAAAGGTATTTTGCCTTTCCCTTCGACTCGAATCTTCAACCAACCCATCATAACTAACTACTCATGGTCTACTCACTTTTCGCCTGATGGAGCGGCAGTGGGATGGTTAACTCTTGATGGCGGAGTGGTGCGAGGATTCGCGCGATTTCTATCACAGAGGCCACATCAATGGATTGCACTGGGGACTATTGAAATAAAAGGAATATATCCGGTTGCCGCACTTTCCGGTTTGCCAAATTGTTGTTGGGGAAAAACCCGTTTTTTCTTTTTAAAACAAACACGCGCCGAGGTGCCTCATAAATGGGTCCTTTTCTTTGTTTTTTTTTTTTTTTTTTTTTTGTGTGTTTTTCGGACGCGGAGACTGGGAGTTACGGCCACTCAGTCTGTTTGGTCAGGCAGTGCTCCAGTCAGCCAACTGAACTGACAGCTCCGCTGGGCCGTCACTTTGAATGGCGCTGGTTCCAAGCCGAGCAACCCCCAAAAAAGGACGACGCCTGCGCACATTCACGGGTCGATTTGGGCACCATTGTCAACTGTGGTGGCAACTCCGCGCGGAGTGGCCAACAACCGACCACGGAGATTCCAACAATTCCGAGCAGCAATCGCATTGAAATGGGTGCCACGGCCTCGTGCAAGAAAACCTCCGGCAGTGGCTATCCGGAGCACGATGATCCCAGCTACCGCAAGTGCCAGGAGCTCAAGGTGAGTCCATCGCTTTATATAATCTCCCATAACCCAACTGACCGAAGCGACCACACTCAGATGGAGCGCTGGATCCAGATGCACTACCAGATCAAGCAGCGGGAACAGGCACTGGCCATCGCCCATCACCGGGAGCTCTTCTACTGGCTGAGCGGATTCTATCTGAGCGCTGTCTACGGCTGCGCCAGTTACTACCAGAGGGTCAAGAGGGTATCCGCGCTGGCTCCGCTCCTGCCGCTCACCTTCGTGGTGGGTTACTACACGGACTGGGCCTACGGCAGCAAGATGCACCGCATCCAAGGTGGGTCTGGGTTGGATTGTTGGATTTAGTAGCATTAGAGAGAAGCTCTTGCCATATCTATAATATTGAATCAATTGCAGCGGAGGCCAACATGATCATGGAGCACGAGCAGGAGCTGCTCCACTGGCCAGGAGGTCTGCCCACCGTGGCCGGAATCGATGAGGCCCGCGTGGAGACCGAAATGGAGAAGAAAATGCATCCGCACCACATGTAGAGGCAAAAGGCTGCCCCTCTCCCCGTTAGCCTGTAGGCGGGATTGGGTTCTCGTGCTCAGGTCCTCGTTCAAAAAACACACTTATACACACTCCACAATAAATAGGATTCGACCCAGGAGACAGAAATTTGTAAGACCCCTTAGCTAGAATTGTATATTTGTTTGGCATAAACAGTGCTGAATGCTGAACTGTGGGGACCATTCAATTACACTTCACAACACTCACCAGCATTCGAATTACGTTTCTCAACCCTTTACTCCCCAAAGCATTCGAAAATGTCTTACAACGAAGCATTACAGGCATCTAAATCTAATTTGTGCTAAAGTGTTAAGCATTTTTAAATTGAAATGACAAGTTAGATAGAGGCTGCCAGAAAATTGATTTAAAACTAATAGAAATAATTGTGACTAGCAAAAAAAACATCATATCATAATGTTCCAAAGGAGCAATACTCTCACCAAGCTTACATTCACAAACAAATCGTTTCTTGCACAGAACCCCAGCCAGCCTACAGCGCCTGATTGCTCAAATATAGGCCTATATATATTTATATTATATATATTTGTATTCAGAAGTCCTCCATAACGAACTTTTACTTAGCCGCAGTTTACTCGCTCTTTCTAAACTCTATCTATCTGTGTGACGCGCTTTACTTTTTCAGCAATTTTTTGAGACAATACTCCTTATATTGGATAGTTAAAATGATTGATATATATATATATTATATACATACATATACTTATGTACACTTGATACAAATTTGTAGTCTAGAATGTCTAATAAATGTTTTGCTCCCAGCTCAGAAGGCCAGATCATCGCAGTCCAGCAGCTCGTGCTCAATGAAGTTGCGCGACTCCTTCTTGTAGTGGCGGTCGCAGAACTCGGCAATCCTGGAGCACGCCTCCTCGATCATCGCGCCGGGCACGGTGAGCACGATCCTCACGTATCCCGGGTACTCAAAGCAGCTGCCCGGCAGGCAGAAGACACTCTGCTCGTTAACCAGCTCCTGGACAAAGTGGGTGTCGTCCTTGAACGCCGGGAAGCGTTCGATGCTCACGCCGATCATCATGTACATGGCTCCGTGGGGCATCACGGGATCGAGGCCACGCACCTGTTTCAGCATCTTGTAGGCCAGCTCGGCATTCGACTGAGAGCGTAAAATAGGGTTATTATGATCAACTTAGCTAACAACTATACGTGATACACTTACGTGGAGCACGTCGATCACACCGTCGAAGTAAGACTGCGGTGTCTTGGTGAGGATATCGGGCAAGGCACCCTGGATGATGGTGTTGGAGCCCAGGATGCGACCACACATGTTCTTCAGGCCGACAATGGCGTCGCGCAAGCGATTCTTGCGATCGTGCACGATGATCCAGCCCATTCGCCAACCGGGCACCAGGAAGCGCTTGGTCAGACCGCCGCAGGAGAGAACTGGAACCTCCGTGGTCAGGCTGCTCACGGCCAAGTGCTTGGAGCCGGGGAACACAAAGTGCTCGTAGATCTGCAAGAATGCAGGACAGATGTTATCCAGTTGGATTACAAGTATGTTCCTTGTGGGTGACTCACCTCATCGGCGATGATGGGCAAATAGTGGCGTTCGCAGATGGCGATCAGCTCGCGCAAGTGCTGCTCGTCGAAGACGCTGCCACATGGATTGCTCGGATTGTTGATCAACAGGGCGGCGGTGTTCTCGTCGATCAGACTCTCCAGCTGAACGAGATCGGCGCGCCACTGCTGATCGGGCAGCAGGTCGTAGTAGCGCACCTCGATATCCATTCCCTCGGCCAGCGTGTAGTACAAACAGAAACCGGGCCGCGGCACCAGCACATTCTGACCCCGATCCGCCAGCGCCAGGATGCAGTACTCCAGCGCGGAGGAGCAGCCGCTGCAGAGCACCACCTCGTTGGGATCGATCTCGCCGTCGCTGCGCTGGTGGGCACTGTACTTGGCCACCGCCTTGCGGGCTACCTCGTGACCCATGGTGCTGGCGTATCCATTGAACTTGCCGCTCTCCAGCGAGTGGAGCACCGCCTTCATTGTCTCATCGGCGGCTTTTAGATTGCCAAAGGTTGTGGGATCGCCTGTTTGCAGAAGAAAGTTCATTTAAAAATAAACATTTAAAATATATTTTTGCCATACAGAAAATATTCCATATCCCTCGGTAATTAATTGAATAATGTGTATTTATTTTTGGCAACGGTTTGCAAAATCAGGTAACTTCGCAGCCGAATCGCTGATTGCATTGGGTCAATGGCTAACTCGTTCGTTTCCGCCTAGCTCCGATTCCCGATTCCGATGGGTAAACAAGCAGCAGCAGCCCTCCAATCTGGCTCAGATCCCGAGTTCGATTCGATTCTCGAGTCCGCCAAACAGGTGGAACTACATTTTATGCAAATGCCCCACAAAACACAAATACACAAATACAGTGCGCGTGCCTCGCTACAAAAATAATACGATATTACTACAAAAAAAAGAAAGACAATAAAAAAATAACAAAAAAATTAAAATATAAGCAAGAACAAGAACAGCAATCGCAACAACAACAGCTTTACAGATTTTATATATCTGGTATCTGGCATATTTTAGCACAAATTTAGAAACTCGCGACAATCCGCAAAATAAGCTTCTCTGTAAATTTCCTAAGCCAGAATGCCCGAACTTCTACAGGCTGATATGACCCGATTTTGTGGGTGTGTATAACCAATGGATGTGTGCATCGCCTTACTTCACAATGAAACCGAATTCATTGAGTTAATAAAGCTAGTTTTATCGGCTTTTGTGCCAAGTCAGTTGCCAAAAAACAAATGTATATTAAACGGCAAAGCAAAACCGATCGCACATCCGAAATATTCAAATTGGTACCAAAAACTGGTAGCATAAACGTCAGAGATGTTACGGGGATATGGTGAAATGAGGAGCAGGTTTCCCACGAAACTGGATAGTTAGCACTACCCACAAAAGCATTTATCTATACTTTTCCAATTTGAGGTAGTTAAATCCTTACTTAGCTGATAAGAGTATTTTTCAAACAATGCAACTGAAAAACGGAATACTGATAATGTAGCTCATACGTCATACATGCTAAATGCATAGCATGTAGCTCATACGTCATACATGCTAAATGCATAGCATGTAGCTCATACGTCATACATGCTAAATGCATAGCATACTTCTGAGAATTCTGAAGGCGATAAGCTTTGAAGATCTTTTGGAATGGTAAGTTGTACATTATGAACGATGTATCAAAAGGGTATTTAGGTGGCAGAGGTTCTTAAGACTTTCTAGCTTAGATATAAGGGTAACAATGAAATATATGGTGCTCACCAATGGACAGCGGTATCATGGGCTTCTCCGGATTCGGCTTGATCTTCAGCGATTCCACAATGTTCCGGATGCGATTGTGCGTGTTAAGGGAGAGCTTGGAGCTCTTTATCTGCCATCCGGATCGCTTGGGACTGCCAATGCTGCTGATGCTGCTGCTGCTGCTGCTGCTCGTGGTGGCCACCAGTTCCTGCTGCTTCCGGATCTCCTGCGACTGGAGCTGCAGCTCGGCCAGCGCCAGGTCGACTACATCGCAGTTGGGCGTCACCGGCGTCGGGGATTCCGGCCCACTAGGACTCCGGCTTGGGCAGCTGGCCCGACTGCGGCTGCTCTGGTATCGGAACTGACTCTCGTTGGCAACACTGCTGGGCATTATCACCAGGCCGGCCCTTTTCCCAATCCAACGAAAGAAAATCGAAAAACAAAACCAAACAAAAAATAAACACCAACAAAAATTGCTAATATTTTGGGTACGACGGTATCTCCGGTCCAAATTCTGGCGAATGGAGCACTCTGCTCAAATGAATGTGAAGTTGGTATCCTGTTTATCGTTCCAGACGAGCATTAGAGATGCGATCAATGGGTAACTCTGTGTTGGACGGAAGGGTCTTGTATACGGATGCTTTGCTTTGGATACTCGGGATCGTATGGGTTGGGCTTTCTTTCAAGTCGTTTGCGAATTCTGTGCTAAACTGATCTACTTCGGCGATATGTTGGGGCTTTTATCGCCTCTGGCGGACTCCGCTTAGTCGATTGCTATATAGGCTCTCCATATATACGCATATCTGGGTATATAGCCCACACACTCACATCGCCGGCTATAACGCGCCTGATTTTAGCTTCGGTGCGAGCCGAGGTCCGATCGAAAGACAGGAACAACAACAACATAGGGGGCGTCGACTGATTTGAATACCCGCCGGCTCGAAATCATATTCATATAATGCCTGGCCCGACTCGAAACCAGATTTAAGTTCGATTCGATTCGATTTGATTTGATATAAACAACAACAGGCGCCGCATCGCATCGCTGTTCATTTAAATGCGCCAAAGTTGTCTATAACATCTTGGGCCAATTTGAAACACCAACCAGCCAGCCAACCAACCAGCCAACCAGCCAACCAACCAGCCAACCAACCAACCAACCAACCAAAACCATTACCATTAATGCATATCGAGTGGGGTCGAGGGCTGGCAGATAGATTTCGCCCCGTCCATCCAACCTGCCACCTTCCCACCCACTGAACCACGTGCCAAACAACCCACATAGTTGGCTAGACACTATCTGTGAGATTTTCCTGTTCTCGGATCTCAGCGGTCATCGATCCAAGTAACTAATAGCTAGCTGTTCAATATTACCTGTTATTTCCACCATTTTCCTACAAAAGGTATCCTACAAAAGTATTTATAAGTTACCTAAGATCCAAGATCCTAAACATATTAGTAACGAGATACAAAATGTATGAGGTATTTTCAATTGTTTCAGCCCCTTGGTTAGCTACTCAATATATATTTCGGTATTTAGTTTACTTTGAAACTAGATAGAACGCTTTGGTTGCTCGACTATCACATACCCGTTTCTCAGCTAGTGGGAGTACATAAATATGAGTTTCTTGTAAACAAATTAAAAATCTCGTTGAGCTATTTTTCCGCACAAGATAATTGCTACGTTTATACAAATATTTACTTGTTTACAAGCCAAAAAAGTCTATTTAATAACGAAAAACAACAAACTTTTAAAAATAATGTGTGAAATTAAAAAATACACACTTATCACGGCGCGTTTTACAATTAATTAGAAAGTATCCGTAAAATGCACATCTGGACAAACGTGGAATGCACCGCGATACCAAGTCCATTGATGTAATCCCACCGATTTGCATAATTGCATATGCATAAAGGCTATAGGATATATCTGTATCTGAACCCGATCAACTAGATCAGCTAGCTAAACTGGCCAAGCTCACCTGTTGAGAATGACAACGCAATTTCTCGGATTCACGGAGCGGGGATTCCGGTCATTTTGATCCCCGGGACAGGAATAAATTGCAAAGTTCCAAACTGCGTTTCAGAAACAAATCTTTAGAAACAAGATCTTAGGCCATCTGAGGCAAGATCTTACAAAATCTCCCTGACAAAAGGAATTTTTTCGGCACAGAACCATGTGGCGTCGCATATAACGCTTTATTTTGACTTGAAATTGGATAAGTGTGACAAAAAAAGATATAAATACAATATGCATATATATTGCTCTAATCGGATTAGAATTTTACCAAAAATGTAATAACTGGACCTTGGCTCCAGTTTGGTGTCAAAAAAGTATGGAAACCACGTAAATACAATTTATTTCTTATAAAACCAAAATAAATACCATTCAGCATTAAAAATAGCTAATAACATTGGAACTTAGGTAATATTCCCCCATTCGATCTATCAAACTTTACATTGATATGCATAACCACCGTTTTGAAATCTTTTCTGAACTTTGAAACAAATATTCTCTACATATGGTTTAATTTATTGCTTGTTATTGCAAATTCCTGGCAAACATGTAAATATTTTCGCATTTTCACTCAGCATTTACTATAAGTGGCCTTTTACTTAGCGCGATAAACAAAAATATGTTTTTCGCGCTAGCCTTGCCATTGCATCATAACAGTCCCCGATCTCTCGGAGGCTGGTCAGTTGATTAGTCAGTGGATAAGTCACTTGGTCGGCCGTTGGAGCGAGCCTCCTGCTCACCTCGTTTGGAGCAGGTTTTGTTGAACTTCTTTTTTGTGGCTGGTGGTCAAGCCCACCTATATAGAGAACCGAGTTGGCGACAATCATTTCATTGTGTAATTTCTTAAACATCTTGAAACTCAACCCAAGACCTTTCAGGTGTTCTGCTCAACAATGTGGAACAGCAAATCCAGATAAATCGAACGTTTCGCTGGCTGATCTAGAAAATAGTCAAGTTACCATTTTTTCGCTCAGTGAGCAGAACACCGTTTTTAGTCTAGAGTAACAGGTATGAAAAGAAGAAAAAACATTTTGCGTATATGTACATATAATTCTTATTTGTTTCCTTATGTTCGCCTCGATATTGTACCAATGAAACATATGATGTAAAAAAAAAAGTTAACATAAATAATGTCAAGAATTCAATTTCTGAATGTTGTACAGGAATGGGAATATGTATAATACTGCGACTGCGACTGCGACTGCGACCACGCCTACTTGCGCTTGAACATGTTGCTGAGGCGTCGCTTGGGCGGCGAGTTCTGTAAAGGAACAAGTGGACATGGTTACGCATAACGAACATACAACGTAGTTTAGGAAGATTTGTGCGATTTCCAGTGCTTTGGTTTGCCGGGACTCGAATAGGTCAGGAAGACGAGCCCCATTCCCGCCAAGACGCCAGTGATCGCCAGCACCAGTTTGTCCGCCAGCTGCGAGGACAGCCCCACCATGACCAGCAATGCGAAGCCCACGACCAAGCGCGCGCCCCGGCTCAGATGGCGTAGGAACCGCCGGCACTGAGCCATCAGCGAGCGGTGTTGTGTGGGCCTGCGCAGTAGCGAGTCCGAGTGCGGCTGGACATAGGTGATATTGATCTTGGGCAGCGGCTGCATGTGCACGCTGCCCATCGAATAGACGGTACATGAAGAGGCACTGGTCATGTTGGTGGTGCAGCTATTCGCGGTGATATTGCTGCCAGAGGCCACCAGTTGGGTGTATGTTGGCTGCACTGGCTCCTCAACCGGCTTGTACTCCAACGGCTGCAGCTGAAAGGGTGCCGTGGATTCTGTCTCCTTGCAGAGCTGCTCAAAGTGCCAGTCGTCCGGGGTCTCCTCCATCGCACTCTCACCAGCATGCATGGCCCAGAGGGCACAGTTTTCGTGCTCAAATTGCTGCTGCAGCTGCGAGGTCTCGTCGTGCTCCTCCCCGTCAAATGTGGTGGACACGACCGGACTGTTTCGCCACTTGCCCTCTAGCACCACCGTCTTGCCCATCAGGATCTGGCTGGGCAGGTGCTCCTCATTGCGATTGTGCAGACTGTAATTGTTATTCCCAGCTGACTCGGCCGTCTGAGCGGAGTATGACAGGCACAACTGGTCCAGGTGACGGGCCTCATCGAAGCGGCCCATCCGCTCACGGCGGAACTTGCGGCGCAGCTGCACCCTTTTCCCGGATACTAACGACGCTGGCCGGCTCTTGGCAAAAATGTTGCCATGGAGCGACAGTGAAACGCGTCCTTTTTTGGGTTTAGCTGGGCCAGTAAGACGACGGGTATTGCCTTTGGTCAGGGCCAGCAATGCTGCAGTGGACAGGTGCGGCGTGCCCTGTTGGTCGGCGTCTTCAAGAGGATCTAACTCTGGTACTGCTTCTGCCTTCACTTCAATCTCTTCCTCTGATTGTTCCGCATCACTGGCGCCGATCAGACGCTGCTGATCGTAGTAGGAGCGGCTTTTGCGGGGCGTTGATGTACAAAACATGTCCACCGCCTGGCGCAATTTACGGCGGTGTATTCCGGTCAAAAGATTCGGCCGCTTGAGCCGCGGCAGCTGTGGGATAGGCCAGGCGTTTTTGGTCAGTTGCCGAGTGCACTCGAGCCACACATGAGGACAACATGAGGACGAAGACGACAAATGGACGAAGCACGGAAGCAAGCAACTGTCTACAGCATTTGACAAGTCTATTGACCAAGGACACTGAACCTTACCGGCGGGCACATAAAATATGCGCCGCAGGTTCAGTGTCCCTTGGACACATCCAACATAACAACCAAAACATTGAAAAGCACAAATCTACTCTAGACACACTCTCCGCAGCACTTACCTCGTCCCGGGGCAAACCGCTGCTGCCAACGCTGAATCGCTGCGTCAGGAACTTGAAGCGCGCCGGCGTCTTGGATGTGTTGTTATGGTCGCCGAATTCACGCAGTATCTCACGTGGCGGCTCCGAGCTGCCGAACGATAGACGGCCGCCGTTCTTGCTCGGTGTGGGCGGTCCTGGTCTTTTATAGTGAGTGCCCATAGACTTCTTGCGCGTTCCGGTGCTCGATGAGCTCAGCAAAGCACTCATGCTGTCATCCAGACTGTGGGGTCCGTCCTGCAAGGAATACAAGGAGCACAATATAGATTGAAGCTAAAGACATCGAAATTCTCGGACAGCAAATGGATTATTGTGACAGAAATATATATATAACAGGACACTGATGAGACGAGCACACAGCAATTTCTAGACACAACAGACTTAACGTGGACAGAAGCTCACTCGGTGTCTGGTTAAGGGTTAGGATTAATGGATCTAAGGGCGGCGCAAGACGCGTGCCCACTTAGCCTTCATGGCTGCCTGCTGTGCCCTCAAGGGTGTGGTGTTTGTCCCATGTCTGCTGCTGCTGCTGCTGCTGCCACTAGTGCCGTCAAATCTGTCAGCGGACGCCGAAATACTGCTAACGCTTACTTTGAGATCTTCGTCCTGGCTGCCCAAATCGTACTGGGCAGCATAAGTACTCTTCAGATGCGGTGGTTGCAATGAGTTTCGATAAATCAGCTCCTCGGCTCTGCGTGAAAATAAATATCACCTTAATTTTGGGCATACAAATCGAAGAGATCCAGTGCTTACGTCATTTCTGCCGGAACACGGCCCAGTTTCAGATCCGTGAGGTAAGTGTTGTTAAAGACCTCGCCCTCCTCATCTTCCATAGCCAGATTAGAGGACGGCACATTGGGCCGCTTGAAGGGCTGCCAGTCATCGTTTGCCCCCGCCGAACTGGACGAAACGGTGAGCGGCGTGGTGGATGGTTTCGTTTCGCTAATGGGCTGCATCTGCAGGTGGCGCAGCTTGGTGCTGATGATGGCATGCTGCTTCTGCTGCTCCAGGATCTTCTCGTTCAACCGAACAATCTGGTTGGACAGCTTGCGTGTATGCTCTTCGTATTTGGCATTCTGAAAATGTAATAAATGGAATAAATACCGCAACTCGACAGACTGCGATATCTGCATATCTACCTGGGCGGTGAGTGCCTCCAGCTCCGCCGCGCTCTTCGACGCATCCCGTTCCTGCTTCTCCTTCATGCGCGTCACCTCGGCCGTGTACAAGGAGCGCTACGGTTGGAGCCGTGTGGGTGAACGTGGACGAGTTGCGGCACAGTATGTTCATGTGAAGGTGCGTGTGGGATCGGGCGGCACGCATTTCAAAGGACAAAAGTGAGTGAGAGACAGCAGTGAGGACAGTGAGGACAATACAAACAACATAAAAAAACACGTTTTTGGAAACACATACTGCTCATTTATCATATCACAAAATGTAAAAAGCTAATAACAAAGTCTACCGAAAGTAATATGTTAACCTAAAACTCATAAGGTCTGCGAATCTTAAGGCACACATCTACTTCATTACGGTGCAAAGCGAAGAAAAAAAAAAATATTGCTACACCTAAGCAAACGAAAGGGATCATGAAGTGTGGGCTTTGCCTATGGGTTTCCTGTACCGTGGTGCCGCCGTCCACACGGCATACAGCATTCGAACTGACCGTAGGGCTCGTCTGGACCTTCCGGTGGCAAGGGGATTGACGGATATTGGAATGGTGGTTTCGTGTGGGATTGCGGTGTGCGTTGTGGGGAATTAGGTGGAGAGAGGAAGGAAAGATAAAGCATTTTTAATTTCATGATAACTTGAAGTGAGTTAAATAAATCTAGTTAGCTGAAAAAGCACATTTGAAGATCTAACTAGGAGCTGTCATGGTTCAGAAATGGCTAATTCAGCACTGTTGTGAATGGCTGTGGTTTTTAGTCCATGAGTATAAATACTAAATCAAATGCTAATTTAATTGTGCTGCGAAAATGCAGCATTGCAACTTGTTCTATTGAGGATTCTTATAAAGCGCTGTATGCATTTTCAGACGGACAAATATATTATATATATATTTAAAAAGCGTAACAAAAAATAACTGAATTTTCTTCTATTCACTAGGGAGCTACGTCCCATTTCAAAACCAGTTAGTAAAACGAAACAACGACAACATAAACATGCACAAGCAAAAGCAAAAAGTCCAAACAGTAAGTAGGAAATGACATGGTGTCAGGATCGGATCACATCTCCGCGAATACTCTGCCAGCCAAATGGAGCATGAGCATGACATGGTGGACACCAATCTGAGCTTGGAACTAATGCAAGCGATGGAGCAGCCACCCTGTGACCATGCCATTTTCTGGGAACCATTAGTTTCGGTTTTGGAATCTCGTTCTAGTAGTTCACAGCGACTTACCATCTTGTTTTTCATCTTCTCCAGCTTGCCCTCCATCTCCAGACGCTGGTCCTTCATCTTCTGCTCGCAGCGCTGGTTCTCATCCTTGGCATCGCGATACTTGGCCTGCAGTATCTGGCAGTCCAGCGCTAGCTTGTGGCTCCTCGCCGTCTCCTGGTCAGATTCCGTGTGGCGTCTATCAGCCGTGCTATATGTGGCGCCAAGATCCCTCGAAGCCTCCGTCTGGTTAGCCTGGACGGAATTTAGATGGGCCAACTCTTCGTTGCAAGCGGCAAGCTCCCGCTCAAGAGAATCCAGGCGCTGCTTATACAGTTCGACGCTCTTCGTCAACTCGACATTGTTATTCTCAGCTTCACGAACCTTCTCCTCGAACTTGAGTTTCTGGGCGTCATGCTCAAACCGCGTGCCGTCCAACTCCTGGACAACTTCGTCTAACCGATCGGTGACCTCAGCCAGCTTCTTCTGGGCCTGTTTACGCTCGGCAGTCTCCTCTGCCAAACGATGCTGCAGTTCGACAACCTCAGGTCTGTCAGAGATGTGGTCTAGTTCTTCTTTGGCCTGGTTACACTCGGCGATTGCGGTCCGCAGGCGCTTCTGTACATCCAATAACTCACTAGCTTTTTCCGCCAGCTCTCGGTTAAGTTGTTCCACCAACGATTTATGGCCACCCATCTCAGATTGTAGCTGATGCCTCAGTTGCTCGACATTTGAGATTTGCCCTTGCAGTTTACTGATCGTGTCATCCTTTTCCTGGTTAAGCGTCTCCAACTGGTTGATCCGTTGGTAGGCGGTCGCACGCTCAGTTTCCGCCATGACCTGGCGCTCCTCCAATGTTTCTATCTGGTCTTCAAGGGTGGCCAGGTTCACCTGGAACTCGCGCTCTGACTTCACTAAGCGCTCCTTAGCCGTGAAGACATCTCGCTGTGCAGATTCCTTTTGACTCTGCAAATCATCTGAATGCTTCTTCTGTGCCTCAAGGGCCGCCTTAACCAGATCCAGTTCTTCCCCCTTCCTGTCGAGCTGCACTTTCAGGGTTTCTACAAGCTTTTGTTCTGCCTCTGCCTGCATACATAGAAATTCCTCCTTGACCTTGACAGCCTTTTCTGCCAGTGTGGTCGAAAAAAGTAAACAGCTTTCGAATTTATTCTTCACGTTGATCATGTCAAAGCTTATTTTAAGATGCTCCGCGAGTTCTTGGTCATGCAGCTTAGTTTGCAGACTCTTAATTTCCGCTGAGGAAAAGCGATACGACTGAGACACTTTGTCGAGTTGGTTCTCGGTCCACTTAATTTTCTTGTCAAGTTCCTCTTCGCTTTCAAGCATAAACAGATCATCCGTGAAGCAGTGTGGCAATTCCAATGTGACTTCGCGTTCGTTGTTATCCAGTTGCTCTTCCAGCTCCTTGCAAAGATTTCTAAGATCTGCGCAGCGCTTATCGTGTTCTTTGCAACGGGGTTCGTGCTCATCTCTAGCAGTCATAGCTAGTTTCTTGCACATTTCCTCCAAATTGAACAGCTTATCTTTAGTTTCCTCCAGATTTGTTTGCAAGCCCTCCTTTTCTTCGGTTTGCGTGCCGCATTCAGCTTTAAGAATTGCCATCTGTTTTTCATACATTTCCTTTACCTCGGAAATTTGCTCTTCTTTCGTCCCGGCCTCTTTGTCGCATTCAGCTTTCATCTTGGCAACTTTCATCTTATATGACTTAAGTTCCTTTTTCAGTTCCTCCAGCTGTCTTTTACAGTCGTGCAACACCACGGAACTGCGCTTTTCCGAAGCCTCCAATTCGGCGACTCTGTTTATGCGACTTTCCAGCTCATTGTGCGCCCTTAACAGACTCTCACTCATTTCCGAATGCACAGTATGCAATACAGAGTTGTCCTCGCTTAGCTTTGCTTTGACCCTCTCTAGGTCTTGGATGGTGTCGTTCAGCTGTTTTATCAAGGGACCTGATTGCTGGTTAGTAGCCTGCTGACGAGCAACCTCTTTCTGCAGCTCGGCAGCTTCCTGCTCCATTTGCGACTTATTTTGGGCGAGCTGGTCATAGATTTCCAAAAACTGGGACATACAATTGTGCAGCTGCTGGGGGGTGTTAACGCCATCAAAATCTTGATGAAGGCGATCCCCAATGGTGTTCAAAAGCCTCATGGTTTCCACATGGTACTGTTCTATATCCTGCTGCGCTATGTGTAGCCTCTGTGCCACTTGTTCCGCATTGCTGTGCTCCTCGCTTAGAGCATTTTCCAGCTGGGCTATTCTTTGGTTGCTGCTGCAGATTTCTTCCTGCAGTTTTTCAGAGTTCTCCTCCATAGACGCGACGATACTCTTTAGCTTATTTTCTCCATGTGTGCTCTTCAAAACGAGCTCTTCGTTTTTGGCTTGAAGATCATTCATTTCCCCCCTAAGAGCATCAGACGACAGCAATGCACCCTCAATTAACGTTTCAATCTCCTCAAACCGCTGTTCGATTTGCACCGATCCCATGGAGCTGGCTGAGCAGATAGCCGAGGATATGTGACATTTGCTACCTCCCAAGAGAGTAAAGATGCGGGTCAGGAAACGATCAACATTCTTGTTATGCTCATCGAATTGCAATAGCTGTGCAGCCTGCTTTTCTATTTCAGTCTCCTTCTCACCCAGCTCCAGATTGGTCTGCATCAGCTTGGCGTGTTGAGCACTTAGCTCATCGAATTGCTTCACCATCTGTGCGTACATCAAGTTAAGTTTATCGTGTTCCACCTCCAGGTCGATCAACTGACGTATGCGACAATGCATGGTCTCCAATGCATGGTCTCGCACCTTCAGCATCCTGGCAAACTCATCTTGTGCCGCGTTCTTAATAATTAGTTCTTTACGGCACTCTTCATACTTGGATCTCACAAACTCATTGCAGTGTTGCAAATTCTTCGCATTGATTTCTTGATCTGCGACTTCGCTGATCATTTTTTCAAGGTTTGAATTCCTTTCCCGCAGCTCTAGGATTTCAGCGCCCAAATCTTTCATCTTCTGTTCTTTCTCGGCTAGCTGCAGACTGATATTCGCCATGTGTTGATCGCCGTGGGCAACGATCAATTTAAGCTCAGCGCATTTTTTATTAAGTCGTTCCTTGTCTAACTGCAGTTTGTTGTTTTTCGATCTTATATCGGCTACCTTCAAATCACAAAAACTCAGAATGCCGGCATATTCACGGTGCGATTCCGCAGCCGATTCCATCAGCTCCGCTATTGTGAACTTGGCCTCATCCAGCTGTTTTTGCTGGCACTCCAGGGACTCTGATAAAAATTTGCATTTTTCGATGTACACAGCCCGATCGTCGCATTCCTTCTTCATTTGCGTATTTTGGCTCACCGTATCAACAAAGCTACTCTCGATCGCAGAAATGCTGGACAACAGGGACAAAGGAGTCCATTCTACCGGGAACTCGTGATCGATTTTGTGCTTCTGAAGGAAATTTGACAGGGCCCGGCATAGCTCCAGCTGGGAATGGTTCCGATTCTGCAGCTCCTCCTTCAGCTCGGCATTCTCATGCTCCTTCTCGCGTAGCTGCTTGTCAATCACAGAACTGGCCAGATTCTCGGGTGTGGTGTTCGGCGACAGAGAACAGTTTAGCAAATCCGAGGAGGCGTTTAGGACCTCACGTCGGCCGTGCAGCTCCTCGCGTGCTAATTGAAGACACTGATCCAATTCCTGCCTTTCGCGCTCCAGGGACGCGATTCTATCGTCCCTGAACGATAGGATACGCAACAAGTCTTCTACACGGCTTTCAAGCACTCGGATGCGGTCCGCATACTCCAACAATCGTTCTCCTGTCAGATTCAGCTATTTAAGGAGTCAAACAAATAAAATATATTAGTTTCCCTTGCATTCTATTCTAAATTGAATGTAATCTGTACAGTTGCGAACCATTCAAAGCTAGTTTTGCACAAAACCCGGCGAAATTATCTTCATAGCATAGTTTTATAGGCAAACAGAACAGGTAGCTTACCCTCTCGGACAGCCCAGACTTTTCGGCGCGCAAATCATCCAGCTTATCGCTAATCTCGGCGATGACGTCCTCCTTTTGACCGATTTCCTTTAAGAGAGTTACCTTCATCTGAAATGAGGTAAAGTTTTATTGATTTATTGCTCCCGCTACCTGCGACAATCTGTTGGTCTACCTACATGTTCATACTCATGTGGCATGACGGAGTTTTCGTCATCAAGCTGCTCTTCGGCCAGCTTTGTATTCTTCAGTTTTTCCATTTCAATCTTGGCCATCATTTTCTCTGTAATGCATATGATTATGAAATTACATGTAAAATATTTTGAAATCAGTGCATTCCAACCTTTTTTGAGTACTTTGATGAGATCGTCTTTCTCTATTTGCTGCTCCTCCAGCACGGTCTTCTCGTAACGCACCATCTCCAGTTGGGCACGAATACCGCGTAGCTCCTTGGTGCGCTGCTCCAGAAGCTCTGTTTTCGGGGTCGCAGGAGGTGGCATTTCGGAGGCAGACATCTGGAGGCGAAGACGTTCGCGATGATTGTGCAACTGTGGCGTGCTGCTGGACGGCTGTGACGATGAGGGCGAGGGTGAGCACGGCGTATCATCGCCCCCCAGATCGGGAATCGGGATGCTGCTGGGATGACATGGGCTGACTGAGGCGGAAACCTCCTGTCGGTAAACCGCTGCCACGTTGGCGATCGCCTGACGTAGATATTGTCGCGTCAACTGCTTGTCCACGGTCTCACCAAGGAAGGACGCGATGCAGGTCTGCGTCAGCTCCGGCATCTTATTGCAGAGGCCGTGGAAGAACATGCTAGGCTTCTTCACGCACGAGTACTGTAATAGCAGTGTATACACGTAGAGGTAATCCGAAGGCAGCAAGTATCCACGGTCATCCAAGTGGGCACTGAACTCTGGATAGTTATCTGCGTGAAAAAACGAATTGTTAGTGATTTAGCTAAATTTAACCAATTTTTCAAAGCTATGGAATATCTCAGGTTCTTATACTAGAGCCTCGATGTATAAATGGATCCCTATCCAGATGGGTCAACATTTTAGAAAATATTATTTTCTATATAGCTAATGTAAATTTGCGTGAAATTTATCTATGAGCTGTATGTGATTTTTTTTTTATTTTTTGAAATGTCACTAATGCATTAATGCACTAAAGGGAGAATTGTTTCAGCCTGGAACTCAACTTACTTGTGAGGAATTCCTGCAACAAGAGGCGGTGTTCCTTGGGCTGATCCTGCAGCGCCTTCTCCCCCTCCTCCTTCTCCGTTTCCGTCTCCGTTTCCGCCTCCTCGATCTTCTGAATGAAGATCGCGAAGAAGGACTCGATGTCCGATTGCTCCAAGCTAATGTAGTTGGGCTCGATGAACTGGCACTCGCCAATCTGCCGGAGGATTGGGTTACTCTCAATGCTCGCCAGTGCGCGATGCGAGATTCACTTACCCACTGGAGTAGGACCTTGCGCCAGCTGCGCATGTCCATTGTGAATGTGTGTGAGTTTGTGCGTGCGGTGCGATGCGATGCGGTTATGTGTAGAAAAATCACAATTTCATTGCGGGAACCCAGCGGAGCGGGACTTTTCCCAGAATACACAATACACTATACGGGAAAAAACGGGACTCGACCGAAAACGCGACCAAAAATATGTACTGTATTATGTACAAATTTTCACAAACACAGAAATATTTGTAATTTTCCAAGCTGTAGGCACAGCTGCTCCCGGCGAGCGATGATAATTTACTAAATCCAGTCGACAGCCTAGACCTCTACAAATTTTGACAGTTCCCAGAACGAAAACATAGCAAACTAGATACGAACAAATGCAACTTTTCTTTTCGGCGCGTCGTTTAATTCAAATGCCGACTACGACGCCATGTGAAGTGTGTTCGGGTATTGGTATTGGTGGTATATCGGACTATCGGCACTTTCCAGCGGCAAGCCGGGGGGACTCCACTAGATGCGTCTCTGCTATCGATATCCCTGCGAGAGATGTGGCTTCAGATTCCACTATGCCACTTGTCGTAGTACAAGAAACAGCTGTTCATATAAAATTGGGAAAAATACTTCACTTATATTTGTAATACCAAAGTATCCATGTACAGATGGAATTAATATGGATGTATGATGGGACTGATATTGCCAATTTTATGTTAGGATATATTATTTATTGTAGTTTTCATAGTCTACACAATCTAGTTAATTTCCCGCCATGCTGAAAAAGTAAGCAAACTTGGATTTTGCCAAGCGCATAAGTACACATATTTTAACAATATTTATATTTTACATATACTTTAACCCACAATGATTTAACAAATATTTTAAAAATATTAATATTTTACATATATTTTAACCCACAATAATTAATGATGCGTCCATAGTTGACCCACCTTAGTTTTCCTCAATCCCAGACATAGATGGCGGCACTGGTCAGGAAACAAGCCACCAAGTGCCTCTGTTTCTGGGGGAATTCCTCAAACCGGTGGCCAATAGCGGCCGACTGTGGTCCACCACATGTGAACTATTAAATTGTAATAACATTAACCAATGACCGAAAACAATGTGCCCGAAATTATCGCCCACTCCGCGTCGCTGGGCACGCACACGAGCACAGGGAAGCAAAACATCTATGGATAGTGCTGATCGTTAAAATAACGCCACCATTAATTCGGACAAACAATGGCAAAGCACGACTGATGTACTTTTGAAGGCGATTTGTACAAGGAAATATAACATTTTCCACTAACGAAGTAGGAAAAAGTGGGTGGGGCGAAACCAACCGATGCCACACATCTCGAACCAAAAATATTTATTCAGTTACATAAATTAGCTTTACAACTTACTGGAAACCAATGGTAAACAGAACGTTTGGAGAATATTTAGAGCTACTCCCGATATTCCCGGGACTTGATTGGTTTCCGAAAGCCAGATGGGCGGAACTGTGTGCACAATACAATTCTCACGTATTTAGCATTGATTTCGTTACGTTTCCTTCCTTTGATTGCCGTCTATTTATAAAGGCGAGCTTCCTGTTTATATTTTTTATAATACATTTATTTATTCGACACAATGGCGAGGTTGGCCCTCCGCCTCCAAACAAAAAAAAAAAAAAAAAAAATATTCTCCACTTCCACATGCATATGTACATCTATACAGCCAACGAATGGGTATTCCTCACGGAATCGAGCTGACACGCACCACCTGCGACAGGGGCTGGCGTTCCTTGCCGGGATGGGGCCTGCCACCAGCGGTGGACGGTGGACCGCAGCCTGTACTGCGACCTGGCTTCGAACCCGGACCTGGACCCGGACCCGGACCCGGACCGCCAGCAGAGTCCGCGCTGTCGCTCTGTGCCTCCACCAGCTTGACATGGGCGATGGTCTGGCCGAAGAGCTTCTGCCGGAAACTGGGCCTCTTGGGCGCCCCACGATGCACACCGATGTCGGGCGCCTGTGGGCGCTGATGGGTACGTTGATGGTGCTCCTCCTGCTCCACGGAGCGCTCCTTGTGGCGATGGCGTCGCTGCTTCTTGCGGTGCTCACCACCACCAGTCGACAGCAGCTCGTTCACATAGTGCAGCGAGCTAGAGGCACTGCCCGTGGAATCTGTGCCCGAGTGTCCATGCTGCAACTGCGCCTTCTTCGCGTGGCGCGCGTGCTTCTCCTCCAGCTCGATCTTGTTCTTCAGCGTCACCTCCTCGATGTGCCGCTCCTGCAAAATGGAAGAGCATCGCTGAGCATCATTTGGCATTCCTGGAATGCAAGGAATTCCTACAAACATGGCTCGCCTGCGCTTGTCCCTCTTGGCCAGAACGACCACCCAAGCGCCGTAGGAGAGCATGATGCCCGCCGGTACCAGGACGCCAGCCAGCGAGTTCTCCGACTTCCGGACGCAGGCATGGTAGACGGCCAGGAAGAGCACTGTGGAGATGGATGCGTTGAGTTCGTGCTACAGTCGTACTTCGCTTACAACGACAACTGCGCAAGTCGCTGGCACTTCGATTTGCATGCTCTATATAGTACCGTTTTTAGTATTTAGTTTTATATACTAAAAATGAAAAAACTAAAAACTAAATCGAAAATGAAAAGTTTTCCTATAGGAAAAGATGGCAGTATTGAACTTGTATGGGTTGATTTGGTTGTATTGATTTGGTTGTATTGATTTGGTTGATTTGGTTGTATTTGGTTGATCCATTCTGAACCTATGAAAACCCATGTTATATTTGCACCCCAATGTGTTTGGCTGAATATTTTTCGGTTTGCTCGTGTTTGTCAAGCAGATCATACTTTTATGTTACCAAACTCCCGAAAACTTACCCAGAAAACAGACGATCACGGCCACCAGGCGTCCATTGGCTTTTCGCTCCTCCTGCAAAGGAGGATATGATATGTTAGGATATGAGAATTGGAATCATTTCTGGATTTCAGGTGCGGCGAAATCGGAATCGAAATAAGAATTTAAGCAGTTCAGCATTTTCAGGGCTACTGGCTTGGCTCTCTTTCTGTTTTTGTGAGTGATGCCATAAAAGCAATTGTTTACAATTTCCACGTTCCATGCATATAGAGGCTTATACACCGGAAAAAAAAACAATGAACTAACAGTTACAGTACAGTACTACATTCCTAGGACGGAAATTGTGACCTACCACAATCACAAGCAACTTTGTAGCACCACTTCAAAGTAAAAAAAAATGGAAGAAATTGAGAAAGTTTTTTACAAATTGAAAAAAGTTAAGTGCCCTGGATTTTGAAATTCCAATGTTTAAGGCATCCACCTTGCCAATTAAATTGGATTTAATTGCACAAAACATTCCGAAAGGGAACCCTAATACAGTTTGATTATCTTACACTTCATAAAATGGCGTGATTTACACAAACGCTTTGAAATTTTGTGTATGTGGGCATAGTGTTGATTTCGTTTCGTTATTTGTTGATCCAAAAATGACCGCCTGATTTTGTTAAATTTGTATTAAATATGTTGGGATATATTCGAACAAACGATTTGAGAAATACTTCTCTCAGTGCCATTTTCTGCACATGCTATATTTTCCAGTTAACTGAAAAACTATTAATGGGCAAATGCATTCTTAAGGTCCACTGTATGTGCAAAAAGATCTAAGGCGAAACTAAACGAACATTTCGGGTTTTATGTCCGACACATTCTAGTAATTCCGCCGATAATGACGGCGCCCCAAACGATGGCGTCGTACAAACTTTGGGAGACGTCTGCAAATCTCGGAAAAGCGCAGGAAAAACTGGAAGTCCCAGTGATCCATGCGTAATGACGTGCTCGTAAATCAAGGTGTTTCCAATGAATCACGACACGGAAAAAAAAGTGAGAGCACTATTAAAATGTGCATATGGTTATTGTTTAAGTATTGTTTAGTTTTCTACGAAATATTGTAGATATTTGTAGATGAATGAAAAAGAACACAGTCGTTAAGAGTGAATTATTAGCTCAAAAGTTGTATATATCTTTGAAAAATTTTCGAAATTGCCCATCAATTGGGATATTAAGGGGATGTAAGAAAGATTTTGTCTCTTACTTTCGATTTTTAAGAGGCTTTTAGAAATGGCACTTAGGAAAAACACGTCCTAAGTTCGAACTTACGCGCGACTTGAGGTCGAGGATCTCGTTGAGATTCTCCTGGATGATCTCCTCCTCCGACATGGACGTAATGCTCTTCCGGGCCACCAAGGAGGAGAGTGCATCCGGCGACTTGGGCACCGCCGGATTGGAGCACACCGTGCCCGCTCCACGGGGCATTGCGGCCGGAAACTTCGGCTCCGGCTGGCGATTTGGGGCGGTCGCGGGCATGGTCGTGGCTTTACGGCGGAATAAGTGGCTTACGTACTAGATCGGTTTAAGCGGAAAATCGGCGGAAGAATGAGGCAAATTTTCACAATTGGAATGGAGATCGCGTCCGGCCAGCGATCAGAAATCGAGTGAGAAGCGAAATTGTGTGGTTACGAGCCCAAACCTCCGCGTTTCTTTTTTTTTCGCGACTTCGTCCGATTTCTGCGTGCGATTTGTTGTTATTTGTTGTTTATTTACAATGCAGTAAATAATTGTTCGGCTGGCTGTATGTGCCCCAAGTTCATATCGAATCCGATGCGTATATATAGCATGTATGCGTATATACACAACGACCGAGATATGCAGCAATTAAATTGTTTATTTTTATGCAAAAGATTCGCAGCTACTTTGAAAACCGATTATCGATACACGTTAGCGGTAGGTGGTGGGGAATCAAATGTGTTTATATAATACTATTGTAATAGTCATTGGTACATTAAAGTATATGTAAATATTACAAAAATACTGTTGTAAATACTTTTTCCTCATTTTCAGAGTATGAATTCCTTTTGGGAGAATTCCCCCAATAATATTTTCAGTCCAGTCAGTGTGAACAAAGATATCGATATATCGAACGCAGCTACGCGACCATCGCTGGTATCGATTGTGCCGTGGCATCGATGATTTGACAGCTGGACACCTCGATAGACGCAAAGCGTTTTGCATCTCCCGATATCGATTGCTCGCCTCGGACGAATCCTACACAGGAATCCCAGGCCGGCGAGCACTCGCTGCATCGGCATCCACATCTGCGCCAGCAACAGCCCACCTGCCCAACCGCTACGCCGTCGTCCCATCAAGGGCGCCCGCCGTCTTCGTCGTCAGCATCCAGCAGCAGGAGCAGGAGAGGCGGAGCCACTGTGGCACTATGGCCCAGTCTCATCGGGATCGGGAGCGTGGCTCCGGGCCACTGCCCAACCGCTGGTTGTACTGTCCGCGCAAGAGCGACTCCATCATTGCGGAGCGCTTCCTGGCCTTCAAGACGCCGCTGAGCCAGAACTTCCAGGACAAGATGCCCATCGAGTGCACCTTTCGCCCCGAGATGCTCTTCGACTACTGCAAGACGCTCAAGGTAAGTTGGGCGCAAGCGCAGCTTCTTCTCGCAACCCACCTATCCAACCATCTCATGGTTTCAGTTGAAACTGGGCCTGTGGGTGGACCTGACCAACACGAAACGCTTCTACGATCGGTCCACGGTGGAGGAGCGCGCCGCGCAATATATTAAGCTGCAGTGCCGTGGACATGGCGAGACGCCCTCGCCGGAGCAGACACACAGTTTCATCGAGATCGTGGACAACTTCATTAACGAGCGTCCCTTCGACGTTATTGCCGTGCACTGCACGCACGGATTCAACCGCACTGGCTTCCTGATCGTCTCCTACATGGTCGAGCGACTCGATTGCTCCGTGGAAGCAGCGCTCGCTGTCTTTGCCAACGCCCGGCCGCCTGGCATCTACAAGCAGGACTACATCAACGAGCTGTACAAGCGCTACGAGGACGAAGAGGACGCTCCTGCGGCACCAGAACAGCCCAATTGGTGCCTGGACTATGATGATAGCAACGGCGATGGCTCGGTGCCCGACAGCCGGAAGCGTCACTTTGACAACAACAGCTCCTCCACGTCACAGCAGGCCGGCGAGCAGGATGATGACACCGAGGAGCTGGAGGGAGAGGAGGCGGGCGGCGACGGAGACGCCTCCACCTCGGACGGTCAGCCGCGAAAGAAGCGCCGCCGCGAGATTGTAGTCAAGAATGCCACCTTTATGGCAGGAGTACCGGGCGTGCGGCAGGTTTGCGACCAGCCGCGTCTGGGCGATCTGCAGCGCAAGGTGCAGGACTGGTGCCAGTGGAACAAGAACGGCTTCCCCGGATCACAGCCCGTGTCCATGGACAGGCAGAACATAAAGCGCCTCAGCGAGATACCCTATCGGGTGTCGTGGAAGGCGGACGGTACACGTTATATGATGCTCATCGATGGCCGCGACGAGGTCTACTTCTTCGATCGCAACCACTCGTGTTTCCAGGTGGAGAACGTGGCATTCGTGGATGGCAAGAACCTAAACGAACACCTCGACGGCACTCTCCTCGACGGGGTAAGTAATTCTCGGCGGCATCTCTGATTGCAACTAATCACACTTGTATTTGGTCGTGCAGGAGATGGTGCTGGACAAGATCGGCGAGACCGTAACGCCGCGCTACCTCGTCTACGACATTGTGCGTCTATCGCATCGCGATGTGCGGGACGAGCCATTCTATCCCAATCGACTGGACTACATTAAGAAGGATGTTATAGGTGAGTACTTTGGAGGCAGTAATCTTGAAAGGACTATCTGATTTGAGACTGCAGGCCCCCGCATCCTGGGCATGAAGCATGGCATCATCAATCAGCGACTGCAGGCCTTCAGTGTGCGCGGCAAGGACTTCTGGGACATTTGGATGTCTGCCCGCCTGCTGGGCGAGAAGTTCTCGCGCACACTGGCACACGAACCGGATGGCCTCATCTTCCAGCCATCCCAGCAGCCCTACACGGCTGGCGTGTGCTCCGACGTCTTCAAATGGAAGCCACATGAACTCAACTCGGTTGACTTTCGACTCAAGATCATAACAGAGCGTGGCGAGGGGTGAGTATTGTTCTATCTTACCGCGGACTCAATTAATCAGCGTCTTTCCACCTCTGACAGCTTGCTCACGACGAAGGTGGGCTTCCTTTATGTGGGCGGTCACGATGCACCCTTCGGACGGATGCATAAGCTGACGAAGGAGATCAGAGACTTGGACAACAGGATCGTTGAGTGCACCATGAATCAGTTCGGCAACTGGAAGTTCATGCGCGAGCGAACGGACAAGAAGCATCCCAACAGTTTCAACACAGCCTGCTGTAAGTAGCAATCCTCTCCAGCAGTGGGATCCCCGGCTCAAATACATATATTACCATTATCAATACCATTTCAGCCGTTATGGAGAGCATAAAGCACCCAGTCACCAAGGACTACCTACTAAACTTTATCGCGAGCTCCGGCTTTCGTGATGATCATGCCATGATGCCGCCGCCACCCAATGCCCATCCACAGCCACATCCACAAACCCATGGCCATGGCCACCACCATGGCGGACCGCCTGGGCATCGTCGGCCCCACTGAGCGTACGCACCTAGCCGCACCTGACGCCTCATCTCCCCATCTCACCATTGAACCCGACACTAGGAAATTAAACAACCCCTAATAAATACAATTCAAATCGAGAATTATGTACACACAACTCTGTGTTGGCCGAAAAACTGTGTGCACTGTATGTTTGTTGGGTACGTTGGACTAAGAAAGTATGTCGTCCCTTGATAATAAGGATTAGGAGCACTGCATCAGTTCAGAGTTGCAGAATATACAGGACAATCCGGCTTACACTCCATGTGAATTCCAAACTCAACTTGAAATCCATATTTTTAAAGCACCACACATTGCAGTTCTGTTTATTGAGATGCACACTTTGTAAACCCAACAGAGGTAGTCCAGTTACGCTAGCATTCAACTACTCCCAGCACTTAAGGCAGTTGCAAGGTCCATTGCAATAATCCAACAACTAAGAGGGCATGACACATGCAGTACAAGCATAGCCAAATGGTTATCATTTACATAAAACAGGAGGAGCGCTTCAGTTGAGCAGGCTGCCATTGTCGCGCAGAACCTCCGCCTCCAGCTGGCCGAGATGGAGCAGGGCCACCAGAGCGGCGCCCTGCTCCGCCTGCTTCTTGTTCTTCTCCCAGAAGGAGCTGCTGAATCGCTGGCCATCGAAGGTGCAAATGGAGCGGAACAGCTTGTCGCACTGCTGCGTTTCATAGGCTGGCGGGGATTTGCCAGCCTTTCCAGCATGCACATACAGCTGCGTCTTCGGCAGATGGTTATCTACGGGCGGAAATACCAGATGAAACATCGTATGGCCAGCAAACAATAGTGAACCGAAACACTTACCACTGGGATAGGTGGAGCGCAGGAATGGCATATTCCGGCAAATGACGCCGGCGTACTCGTCCGCTATGGCCGTGGCCGCCTCCTCCAGCTTCTGTCGCTTGGCCAGCGCCTCCGGTGGCTCCACCTCCGCCCGTCCCGAGTTGCCCATCGTCTTCAGCTCCCTCTGCCTGCGCCGGCAGTAGTCGCCCAGCTCCCATATCTCGCAGATCTGTTGCAGCGTCTGGCACTGAAGGAAGCGCTTGCCCCGCGGCGTCTCCTGCAGCTCCCTTAGTATGCTCTGCACACAGTACTTGGAGTTGTGCGGCGCATTGTCGTAGTCGACGCACAGGCGCAGGTACTTCTCGATCAGCTCGTCCATGGGCAGCAAGCCCTCCGGCCTGAAGATGCTCACATTGATCTGGGCAGCACGGGCCACCATCACGCTATCGGCGCCGCATTCCAGCTGAAATTTGCGCAGATCCTCGTAGCAGTGCATGTTTTTCGAACCGCCATTGGCGATAATCGGGATGTCCACTGCCTGGGCAACGGCGCGCAGTACCTCGGGATGGGCAGCATGCTGTGGTCGCTCCACGCTCGTTCTCGCATGAATCCCAATGGCAGCGATACCTGTGGCGGCCAGTTTCTGGACCAGATCGATTGTACTCTCCACGTCCGGCAGGATGCGTATTTTGCAGGTGACTGGAATGTCCAAGCCGGAGCACAGGGTGCGCAGAATGAGTGCCGCCTTGTCGGGAACAGCGAGCAGGGCGGCGCCCATGCCGCCCTTGATGGAGAACTCCTTGGGACAGCCCATGTTGATGTCCAGACCGGATATGTCGCGCTGCAGCAGCTTGCCAACGGCCAGAGCGCGTCCCGCATCGCTGGTGCCCATCTGGAGCACCAGGCGTGACGTTTCCTGGGCGCAGGTGCGGAATACAATCGTTCCATCCGACGGATCCACAAAGTCCACCGTTCCCAGAGCCGCTGCAAGGGTTAACCAAGGGAATTAGATGAAGTATGTATGTATGTTGGGGGTCATGTCCGCTTACGATTCGGCCTGCGAATGCTCTTGATCAGCTTGAGGTCCACCAGCTCCTCGGTGTAAACGATGTCCGCGCCCATTTCCAGGGCCAACAGTCGCATGGGCAGCGTGCCCACGCGCACCATGGGCGCCAGGATGATCTTGTTGCGGTAGTCCAGCCTCTGGCGTGTCTTCATGCTGAAGGACTTCCTCAGAATCGTCGGCAATCGCAGCATGGATTGGAATCGGAACCGAATTCGCGGATTCAGCTGTTGCACGCCGTGCAATTGGGGGGCCTATGCACGTGCGCTCGTGGCGGCCTCTGCATGACGCGGCCAGCCGTCATTCAAGGTACGATTCAATCTTAAACGCTATATGCATATTTTTGATTCATTTTCAAATTGAGCTAGTTTCTGTCTGCATATTATTGTTTGATTGTATTCTGCCTACTAATTATTGTTACATTTTCTTGCCTTCTCTAAACAAAAATAATAAAATAATACAAATAATAATAAGAATATTTCGCACCTATCCTGTAACACCCTAATTTATAACAATTTCGCTTGGTGTATTTTAGTATTTTTCAACTTGCTACGGTGTATATGGTATATTTTTCGATATATATTCTCGTTATCGATAACAGCCAGTATTGTTTTTGTCAACAACCAAACAAGCCAAAATTTTTTCGTGAATAACCGCGAATCCCCGAGAGAATCGCCACCCAAATGGGACACCCGCCATAACTAGGAGAGGTCAGAGGTCGGCAGACAGCGAATAGGGCACGAAGGCGAGGCGCGAATAAAGCTGGAACCCAAAGAGAACTCCGCAAGTGGCCATTAATTGGATTAGCAGCGCAGAACAACGTCGAAAAAGCGGGAACAAGAGCCATTAAGGTCTGGCCCAGCAACGTGACCATAGCCAGACGATCCCGATCCCCGGAAAAGCCCAGCACAGGAGCCGGATCCTCTCGAGGAGCACAATTTGCCCTGACAACGCAGCCAGCGGCACAGCAGCAGAAATCCCTGGACAGCATCGGCCAGGCGAACGGAACCAGTGGAACAAGTGGCCCCAGCGACTCTGGCCCATCGGTTATGCCCAACGCGTGCCCTGGTACGCGGGTGGGGAACTGGGACTGGGTCACAGCCTGCAGGCGAGGGTCGACACACTGAGGCTGACGTACGGCCACCGCCCACGGCAGCTGGCGCTGGCCATGTCCCTGCTGGCCTACGGCGAACCAGCGCAGTCCAGCGACACGGACAGCACGGCAGCGGAGGCGGAGGCGGACGTCCTGGTGGATTTCACGGCCATGCTGCAGCGGCAAAGGCAGGGCGATTGCGGCGGTTGGTTCGGATGCGACAGCAAGATGCAGTCGGCGCAATCCGATCAGGGCTACTACCTGGAGCAGTATGTGCTGGGCGTGCTCGACTTCAGCTCACAGTATGGCATCGATTACAGCATTTCGTATACGGCAACAAATGTGATTGGCAGGCCCACGAAATTCCCTGCCTATGGCGACTATCCAGAGACCTTTCCCATGGTGAGTCCATGCAGAAGCATCCGTACAGGGTTCCCATTCAACTCTCGCCCGCAGCGCACCTATGGCGACTGGTGGCAGCGGGCGCCGTCCGCCACGCGTGAGATTCAACCCCAGAATCTGCCGAAGCTGGAGACACACGACTATGTTGGTAAGACGCCCGGTTCAAGGTATCCGGATCGGATAATCATATTCACTTGCAGTTGGTTCCGAACCCAAACAAGTTTGGGTTAAATATCTCTCAATTTGCAAGGGTATAATGACTAGAGGGAACTCCTTATTTCATCGTAGCATTTATCGATTCCAGTGGTATATTTCGAGGAGTTTGTGGTGCCCACCGAAGTGGCCATCTTTGAGACCTTCAATCCGGGCGCCGTTGTCCGCATTTGGGCGTACGGCCTGACCAAACACTGGACCTGCCTGTGGGAGGCCACGGAAAGCGATCTAGCACGGCCGCCCTTGGACTCGCGTCGCTTTGCGCCAGCACTGAAGAAGACCACGATGGTAACGAAGTGAGTACTTGGCGACTGATGCTGGTAAGAGTGGAATTGGAATATAGCACCCAACTCTTTGGCAGAACGCTGCGTATCGACTTCAATCACAGCCGACTCAATTACTACACGGAAATCGATGCCATCATGCTGTGCGGACGAACCGTATCCAAAACGCAAAACCTACTGGCCAAGCAGCAGAGGACACAGCAGAGCCGGACGCTGCTGTCGCCGCCGCCAGAGGTTAAGGACTCGCCGCCAAGCGACGGCAGTGGCGGACCAATAAGCTATAAGCTGCGCACCCTAAAGTTCCAGCCGAATTGCGGCGAAGACGGTGCCAGCAAGCTGCACGAGTTCATCAACAACGATCTAAGCCAGTTCCTGGCGGACAATTGCGTGGATGGCGGGGAGAGGCCGCCACAAATCTGTCTCACGGATCTGCCATTCGAGATCCTTTTGCGCATACTCAGCTACCTGGACCTGAAGTCCCTGTTCCGCGTGGGCCAAGTGTCGCGCACCTTCTACGACATCTCCACGCATCCGCTGCTCTACGCCGAGATCAGCCTGAAGTCCTACTGGCATGTGGCCAGCTCGGAGCTGTTGTGCACCCTGGCGCGCCGGGCCACCATGTTGCGCAAGCTGGATCTGTCGTGGTGTGGCGGCTTCGGCAATGTCTCGCCCACCGAATTCAAGAAGTGGGTTCACCATAACACCGAACCGATTTGAGCCTTCATCTAAATGATGACTTGTTCCAGATTCCTCACCCAGCGCGGCGATAATCTCACCCACCTGCGGCTGAACTCCTGCAAGTTTCTCAATGCCAGCTGCATTGAGAACGTGGGCATAGTCTGTGATAACCTGATAGGTGGGCTTTTTCAGTTCTTTATCGTACGTTTTATCTATATATGCCTTCGCATCTATCTTCGCTCGCAGAGTTGAGCCTGCGCAACTGTGCCACTGATCCGCCGCTGCTAAATTTCTCCTGTCTGGCCAATCTGAAGAACCTGGAGCGTCTCGATCTCTTCCAAACGTACTTCGAAACGGAACTGCTGCTCAGCATGCTCGAGGGCAACCGCAAGCTAAAGCACCTGAACCTTGGTGAGCTAGAGACTTCAACTTCATTCGTGTAAGCAATTCAATGTGGTCCACTTTCCATTAGCATTCTGTGGTGTCTCGGTGAACATGGACAATGTGGCCGCCCATTTGGCCACGTACAACACGCAGTTGATCTCGCTGGATCTGTGGAAGGCGCACTTTCTGTCGGCCAGAGGATTGCAATCGCTGGCGCGTCTCCATCAGTTGGAGGAGCTGGACTTGGGCTGGTGGTGAGTGATCCTCCGCATGATGGAACTGCATATTCCTTGCATAAATCCTGCATCTTTGCCTTCAGCTTGAGGGAGGCATCGCTCGGAGATGGCCTGTTCCAGCTGCTGTCCAACTGCCCCAAGCTGAAGAAGCTCTTCTTGTCGGCGGTGCGAGGAACCACCGAACGCGATCTCATGCATATTGCCGCCCTGGGCAAGAATCTGGAGCAGCTGGACCTCATGGGCATTCTGAACATAACGCACGAGCGCGTTTACGAGTAGGTTTCTGTCCCATTCGCATTTGAAGTTTCTGTGTTCGACCGCTTGACCATTTGCCTCAATCCAATTTCAGCATTCTGGTTCACTGCCCCAAGCTCCAATTGCTGGACCTGAGTTTCTGCGACAACATCATGGATCGGGATGTGAGTAGATCCTCGATAGAGTTATGCTTTTCATTCGTAGCTAATGCCTCTCATTACCCAGTTCGATGTGCTGGCGGATTGGTCGCGACAATTCAACGTGGACATGAAGAGCAGTCGACGTTGAGCCGCAAATGGCGAGACCGGAAGTGGGGCAATCCTGTCCTGGTAGCTACCCTAATTATGCCTAGTGCAATACAAAGTGTACTTTTAGATCCCACACTCTCCTTCTTCGTTTATAGTAAAGTGTTATATATACATATGTATGCTGTTATGAATGTGAAACCTTTGATATTAAACTTGGCGATTTTTTAATCACTTCAACTAATGCTTAGCACATCAAGCTTTTTAATGGCAGAAGCTGGGAGTAAATGTACGGCTTTATTGACTCAAAATATTGTTGAAATTTATTTATTTATCCTTTAAAACAAAGCGCAAGAGTTTATATATTTTTCATTTTATATACAAATAGGCGTCGAACTATCGGTACGTTCTGGCATCACTATGCCAACAGTGTGACCGCACTCTAGCATTGCTCAGCAAAGTTGTGCAGTTAGAATATAAAGATACAAGTCAAATTGACTTTTAAAATATGCTAAAAAATGATGATACTTATTAAACCTAAATATAACAAAGTTACATTGCAGTATTTCCAATTTTTCACATCGCTAGAAATCAAGAGCTTCCATTCGATACTCACGACCGAGCTGGCCAACCCTAGCTGCCATCTCTAACTCCTTTTCCAATAAGAAACACTAGCGCAGTGCGCTTATCAAAATTAGTTGCTAAATTTAATTAGTTGTTTGGAGTAACAACAGTCGAGGGCAAGTTGGGAGTTGTCACTCGGAGCGACAGATGAGCCAGCTCCTGGCCCGCAGCAGCCAGATTGAGAGAGCCAGCGGAGTGGGGGGACTTTGGCAGCCAGCTGTGCAGCACCAGCAGCAACAACAACAAAGTAACGAGGTCGCAGGACCAAAAAAGCGGAGAAGGAGGAGACGGAGGAGCAGGAGGCGCAGGAGCAGGAGGTATGTATGTGTGTGTACACAGTTGGGCAGCCGCCCCCTCCGACGGCCACGCCCCCAAGCAGCACGTACACTTGGTGTAATTGCCGTAAATTATTGATGTGGCTGAGCATTCTGCGCCTTGCGGGCGTGCCCGTCCATCTATGGAGTTGCTAAACGATTGGGCTACCATTCGGGATGCCATTCCATTTGTGTATATCCATTAGATCCAGTGACACGCAGCCATGCGCTTTAACAAGCCGGAACTGAACTCCCTGGCCAGTAATCCAGCAACGCGGTTCGACAAGGAGGGCCTGCTCATCATCACCGACCGCCAGGAGGGCTTCCTTTGGCGCTCCAGCGAAGGTATTGATTGCACCACTACCATATGGTCACCTGCGTCCATGCACATGCACCAGCACATGCACACACACCCACACACATCCACACCATCTCACCATCCACACCATCCAATCCTGTCCAGGCACTTGGCTTATGCACTTCATTCTACCGCCCACAGTCAGAGTTGAACGTTGGTGTAAACTGCGTGGCAATTTACTGTTCTACCTCAAGGATAAGGACCCCAAGTCAGCGGTGGCCGGCCTCCTGGTGCTGGAGAACTGTCGTGCGCGCATTCAGAATGACGAGCGTGAGCCCGAGGGTTACGTTTTCGATCTAGGTAGGGTACCTATCTACTCACATAAGAGTGCTATGCTAATAATTGAGTGTTTAAGATTTCAAGGACAGCTCATCGGAGCGTTTCATCGCACGCTCGTCGGCCGAGCGCCTGGCCTGGGTGCAGTGCATCGAGCAGGCCTCCAGCGAGAAGCTGAACGTGCTCATCCGCCAGCTAAAGGATCAGATTGTCAGCCAGAGTCGCCAGCCAAACAGCGGGGCAACCTCCATGGGCAATCACATTGACCTCGGCATGCCGCTGGAGCCGCAAGTGCAGGAGCAGCTACAGCTGAACGGCCAGCCGGCGGAGGAGTTGTCTGTGCCCGTGTCCGTGCCCACGGAAGTGGTGGCGCCGTTTGAAGGTGATCTTATACAGTTCTAACCCAAAAACCAAACCCAAAATGAAACCGAAACCATCGGGAGCGGCGGTCGTTATTGTTTTTAGTTTTGTTAACCAGTTACCCAGCTACCCAGATATTGAGCCATGTCACCACTGTTCCACCAACTGCACGCCAAAACCTCTCGCTCACTTCCATGCACCCACATCAGGTTTACAGTCATTTGAATCCATCTTGGAATCAACCAGCCAAAGGCGCTTCACTCGCAACCATTCTGCACATTCTAACATTTTGTATGTTGTATCAGTTGAATCCCATCGAAATCGCAGGCGGTGGGCTGTGCGATTGAACTGAAACTAAACCACTAGTTCTCATAACGCCAATTCCGAATTTATATGTTGTATAATTATGTGTAATCCCAACGGGAGCTGGAGGTGCACTGCGATCCATGTGATTGGACTGAAAATGATGAATTTATTCTTGGAATAAACTTTGTTTTGCTTATGAATGTAAACGGAATTAACCAGTTGTTTGTTATTCAATCCCCTCCTGCTTTAGCTGCGCCGTCAGCTGTTCACCCGCCTGTGATCTGACCTGGTCTACTCTTACTTACAGAACTCGATCTCTCGGAGCTGCCCATTTGCGAGACGGCCCTCTCCTGTGATACCCTGCCCCTGGACACGTTGGGGCGAGCGCCCAACCCGCAGGTGGTGTGCTCGCTGCTGCCGACGGCTGGAGAGGATTGCGTGTGGCGGGAGCACGCACGCACCGAGCTGCAGGAGCGCACACGCACGCCCCAATTCCTGTGCACCATGCGCTTCCAGCGCAGCGCCGGACTGTCGGCCAGCACACGCCTTCGCTTCAGCGTCTTCGACGTCCGCGAACGGATGACGCTCACCGCCGTGCCGCTGGGACACGCCGAGGTGGCCCTGGGCGTCATCCAGGACACCAGCCGGCTGCGCCTGCCGCTGACATCGCCGCGCGGCGAGTGCGGCTTCATCACGCTGGCCTCCTGGTCGCCCGATGCTGCCGTGGAGCCCGGCCAGTCGGGGAACGGACCGCCGCGCTCCAGCACGCAGCTCTTCGAGGGAGCAGGCGCCGCGGGAGCCGCGCCGAGCAGCAGACGAGGTGAGACTTTGCACATCCAGGGGTTCCATTTAATATGCTTCGGGTTTGGGTTTCGGTTTGGGTTTTTTGAGTACCTTCGCGAAAACGAAAGGGAAAAGTATATAGTTCCATTGAAGAAATATAGCAGGCAATACAACAAATATAAATTATTTATAATTATTTTGTAAATAAAAGGGTTTAGCTATGTGTTGCTGAGTAGAAGTGTTTGATGTGAGAAGATAGTAGCTTTCCCTAGTGACCCATGTCATTTGCTCCCCTCCGCAGCCCATCGGCGCACCCAGTCGCTGCCGCCGAAGCTGGGAGTCCGCCTCTTTGTGCCGCAGCAGTGCGGCCTGCAGCGGGTGTGCTCCAATCCCCGCCTGCGCACGTACCGGCTGCACTCGTCGCTGGGAGCGGACATCAGTGTGCAGGAGACGCTGCTGGAGTCGCGCCTGTGCTGCCAGCTGCCGCAGCAGCTGCTCTCCATCTGGATACAGCGCGAGAAGGAGCTGCTGCAGGAGATCTCCGGCATGGGCGAGCTGAGCGGCGAGTGGCGCTGGCGACAGATGAACCTGCTGGAGGAGCACCTGCGCCTGCTGAAGGATTACTCGCAGGCCAAGCAGAATATCCAGCAGCTGGCGCGTGATGGGGTCTCCTTCAAGCGCTCCGCGGCGAAGGCGGACGAGGCGCTGGAGTTCCTTCCGGTCAATCTGCACGTGCAGCGGATGTGGGCACAGAACGACACGTTGCAGCGACGTGGCCTCCTGGACGTGGTCACCGTGGGCGCCTTCACGCGCCACGATGCCAAGGGACGCAGGTGCGGCGGTCTCATCAAGTGAGTGGGTGCAGCATCCTAATGGAGCCGAGACTTATTGATTCTTTTACTTTGGCCAGACTGCTGCAGGAGAGCAAATCGTGGAAGCTGGAGCAGAGCAATGCCTGCAAGGTGCAGGCGGCCAATGATGCCGTGCAGGCCACCAAGCAGCTGCGCAAGGAGATCGTCGAGCTGATGTCCCAGCTGCTGCAGTTGGCCGGTCGGCGCAGCTCCATGGACATGATGCCGCTGTGCAACCAAATGGTGGCTCGCACACGCACGCTGCTTAATCTGTGGGAGCCGAGCATTGTGGAGGAGGCGGTGGCCTTCATCGAGCGCCATCGCATCATCGAGGAGCCGGAGAACGTGCTGATGGAGCCGATGTCGCCGTTCCGCAAGATAACCCAGCAGCTGACCGCGCTGGAGCTGAAGTCACCGGAGCTGGAGGACTTTGCCACGCCGGTGGTAGCGCCACCGGATCTCTGGCCACGCGGCCAGCCGCCGCTGATGCGCTCGAACAGTTGGCATCCGAGCAACAGCTCGCCGTCCAGCTCGCTGGATATCCGGGCCATCGATTCGCTGCAGCATGTGGTCAAGTGCTACAACGATCACCTGCGCAGTCTGGAGCTGGGCAGGAATCCAGGTCGCCAGGCCGGGGCGGAGGAGGAGGAGGAGGCCACATATCAGTCGCTGCCCGTTGCCTGGCAAACGCAATCGGAGGCCACCACATCCGCGCCAGTGCGGCCATCGGAGCCGCCAGCTGATTTATCCGTACTGCAGCTAATCGATCTGGACGAGATCGGACGGCAGGCGCAGCGGCAGCAGCAGCATCAGCAGCCACCGGCGGGCTTTCTGGACACCAAGCTGATGAGCTCCTCGCCGTCGGCCAACTATTACCGACCCACGGAGGAGCCGGAGCCACTGGATCTCACCCAGCTGAACATCGAGGCGAGCGTAATGTGCCTGGTCAGCAAGCTGAAGTTCTTTTGCGGACGCTGCGACAGTCCGGCGATCCGGCTGCGTCATCCGAAGGCGCCCATCAAGCGGGAGGGATTCGCTGTGGCACCACAACAGGCGCCGGACGTGATTGCCGCCTCTGCAGCCGCCAAGCAGGCAGCCAATCTCGCGCTGGATCTCAAGCCGCAGTCAGTGGGAAGTGGTGGCTCCACGTCCGGCTCAGTGGCCGTCAAGAAGGGCAACAAGTTCACCGACGGCCTGGATCTCTCGATGACCACGGACTGGGCGGCGGAACTGCGTCCCAGCATGCGGAAGCTGCGCCATGCCATGGATCGCCTCCTGAAGACCGCCCGACTGATGCACTCGGTGCAGCGGCTGCAGCAGGACATGCGCTGCAATCGGCTCCAGGCGAGCATCATGTACCGCAGGGATGTCTGCTTCT